CCAGCAAACAAACCTACTAAAGTGAAATGGAGCCTCTCCTGGTCCAGGGCCTTGGGAAATTGTGGAAAAGCTATTCTTTAATAAGGGTTTAATAAGGGTTTAATAAGGGATTGGCTCCTTTGGGAAAGGCTTGGAGTTTGAATTTGGCAATTGCCTTTGGAAAAGGCTTGCTTCTCTTCTGGGCTTCGAGGAGCTGCTCTGGCACAGCTTGCTGCAATAGTGAACCCAGCAAACAAACCTACTAAAGTGAAATGGAGCCTCTCCTGGTCCAGGGCCTTGGAAAATTGTGCTGTTCCTTAATAAGCGTTTAATAAGGGATTTGCTCCTTTGGGAAAGGCTTGGAGTTTGAATTTGACAATTGCTTTTGGAAAAGGCTTGCTTCTCTTCTGGGCTTCCAGCACAGCTTGCTACAATAGTGAACCCAGCAAACAAATCTACTAAAGTGAATGGGGCCTCTCCTGGTCCAGGGGCTTGGAAAATTGTGGAAAAGCTGTTCTTTAATACGGGTTTAATAAGGGATTTGCTCCTTTGGGAAAGGCTTGGAGTTTGAATTTGGCAATTGCTTTTGGAAAAGGCTTGCTTCTCTTCTGGGCTTCCAGGAGCTGCTCTGGCACAGCTTGCTACAATAGTGAACCCAGCAAACAAACCTACTAAAGTGAAATGGAGCCTCGGCCGGTCCCAGGGGCCTTGGAAATTGTGGGAAAAAAGCTGTTCTTTAATAAGGGTTTAATAAGGGATTGGCTCCTTTGGGAAAGGCTTGGAGTTTGAATTTGGCAATTGCCTTTGGAAAAGGCGTGCTTCCCTTCTGGGCTTCCAGGGGCTGCTCTGGCACAGCTTGCTGCAATAGTGAACCCAGCAAACAAACCTACTAAAGTGAAATGGAGCCTCTCCTGGTCCAGGGCCTTGGAAAATTGTGGAAAAGCTGTTCTTTAATAAGGGTTTAATAAGGGATTGATTGGTTCTTTTGGGAAAGGCTTGGAGTTTGAATTTGGCAATTTTGGAAAAGGCTTGCTTCCCTTCTGGGCTTCCAGGGGCTGCTCTGGCACAGCTTGCTGCAATAGTGAACCCAGCAAACAACCCTACTAAAGTGAAATGGAGCCTCTCCTGGTCCAGGGCCTTGGAAAATTGTGGAAAAGCTGTTCTTTAATAAGGGTTTAATAAGGGATTGGTTCTTTTGGGAAAGGCTTGGGGTTTGAATTTGGCAATTTTGGAAAAGGCGTGCTTCCCTTCTGGGCTTCCAGGGGCTGCTCTGGCACAGCTTGCTGCAATAGTGAACCCAGCAAACAAACCTACTAAAGTGAAATGGAGCCTCTCCTGGTCCAGGGCCTTGGAAAATTGTGGAAAAGCTGTTCTTTGATAAGGGTTTAATAAGGGATTGGTTCTTTTGGGAAAGGCTTGGAGTTTGAATTTGGCAATTTTGGAAAAGGCTTGCTTCCCTTCTGGGCTTCCAGGGGCTGCTCTGGCACAGCTTGCTGCAATAGTGAACCCAGCAAACAAACCTACTAAGTGAAATGGAGCCTCTCCTGTTCCAGGGCCTTGGAAAATTGTGGAAAAGCTGTTCTTTAATAAGGGTTTAATAAGGGATTGGTTCTTTTGGGAAAGGCTTGGAGTTTGAATTTGGCAATTGCCTTTGGAAAAGGCTTGCTTCCCTTCTGGGCTTCCACGGGCTGCTCTGGCACAGCTTGCTGCAATAGTGAACCCAGCAAACAAACTTACTAAAGTGAAATGGAGCCTCTCCTGGTCCAGGGCCTTGGAAAATTGTGGAAAAGCTGTTCTTTAATAAGGGTTTAATAAGGGATTGGCTCCTTTGGGAAAGGCTTGGGCTTTGAATTTGGCAATTTTGGAAAAGGCTTGCTTCTCTTCTGGGCTTCCAGGAGCTGCTCTGGCACAGCTTGCTGCAATAGTGAACCCAGCAAACAAACCTACTAAAGTGAACTGGAGCCTCTCCTGGTCCAGGGCCTTGGAAAATTGTGGAAAAGCTGTTCTTTAATAAGGGTTTAATAAGGGATTGGTTCTTTTGGGAAAGGCTTGGAGTTTGAATTTGGCAATTTTGGCAAAGGCTTGCTTCCCTTCTGGGCTTCCAGGAGCTGCTCTGGCACAGCTTGCTGCAATAGTGAACCCAGCAAACAAACCTACCTTGACTGAGCTATAGCGTTTTTGAGAAAAAATGCCTCTCAGCAATTACAGTTTTTTTTGCAAAAAAAAGGGCTCTCCCAATTTTGTTTTGCCACAAAAGCGAACCCTCCAAACAATACATGAGTTTCAGAATAATTTGGAAAAAAATTGCCACAATAGCGACCCTAGGTACTAATCAGGACCCAACATTAGCTATAAGAAATGTGTTGAGTGCCGTCAATACCACCTGAAGGGCTGCTATTCCGCAGCGGAAGGTGGTCACAACGTCCGAAGCTGCAGATAAGCATCTGAGAGCCTTCGAGCAGGGATGCGAGGAGTGGATGTCGTACCACGCGCAGCCAGTGACTCAACGGAAATTCATTAAAATTCGATGAATCAAGTAAAAGTTGACGGGGATTCGGAATCGTGCAGTTGATGGCTAAGGTTTGAAGAGGGTTGATGAAAGATCGCTTTTTTCAAGTGATGTTGCTGCCTTTTCACAAAGCAACCAGAGTTTGCTGTAAAAGCCCAAAGTTGATAAACATAGGCTAACTATATGCTTATGGTGGATATGTCGAAGTGTTGCTACGTTGGCTGGCTTAAACAAGCATACATGACTGGGGATAATCTTCCTGTAGACGGGGCTATTTTTTTGCCACCAGTACCTGGGAGAGACTTGGGGGGGGTAAAATTTTAAATGATGTTGCGACGTCACCGCGATTGTCATTCATAGTTGGATAATAACAAGAATCATCCTCAAATTGACCTTTATTCAGCAGCTTGTGATAATGGAACATCATTTGGTCATAATCAGGTGAACTATGGAACACATTCATGGTTATTCATCCCCAGATGACCCATGATCAACCATAATCTCCAAAAACACGACAGTTTTTCGGGTCAAGCTGCAGCTTGATCCAGGTTGCCGAGGAGGAACTTGAGGGCTACGAGCAGTTCGTTTTATCCTTGCTGTCGGGCTCTGAGGCTTGGCACACCGAGGCTGTTTTCACAGAAAACATGATGAAAATCCCATGGTTTTTGCAAGCAAAGTATCTACAAATGCCCCGTTTCCATATCGCGAAATTACCGGAGGGCACACCAGATTTTTTTTTCCAGGGAGGCCCCTTAAAAGTGTTATGTCCAAGTGGGAAATCAATTCCAAGAGCTCATGTTTGGGGTTCCACGTTGAATTTAAGCGATGGTGTTTTTGTGTACTGAATGCAATAAGAAATCCCTCAATAAGCAGCAACGAAGCCGGACAGGGGGATCTCGAGATATATAAACCCATATATATATATATATAAACCAACAATATGATGATGCAAGTTGTCAAGAATGGGAGGTAATTCCTACGGCATTGTTTAGGTGGAACATGACGATAAAGCATGGAATTTAATTTGGGTGTATTATGCCTGATATACACTTACTGGTATATTATGGGCTCACAAGAGACCAGGACGTGAGAGCTAGTTGCTGGGTAGATATCGTTTTTTTGTTCTGTTTCAGTGATTGTTGGCTGTAAATGAGAAGTATTTCTGCTATGTATACATATGTATACATGTATTTGTTGCAGGGCACCTAGAATGAGCCTTGGGTTGGTGTTTGAGAGTTGTCTTTTCCATCCAGAAAAAAATACAATTTGCCACTTGACTAAAGATGTTTGGGATACATTGGATACAGTGGGTTGGTGAGGTTGAAAACACCAAACAGTAAAATTTGTTGACGCCGGAAAACTCACATCACCCTCATCCTTGATTGCTTTTGTTGTTGAATTATCTCTGATCATTAGCCCCGAGTGAGACACAAGAGTACTGGTAGAGCAGACTGCAAGCCATTGGGCCAGGTGTTTATGATCGCCTCTCCGGTATTTAAAAAAAACAACAGGGAAATACCCTACGACCCTACGAATGAGCATTCAAATCTGAACATCATTGGCCCAAATGGGGAGTGTTCCACTGCGATCTTTGATTACCAAATGGTATTTCTGTCATTGTTTCATCATGGAATCCTATGGGGGGGTAGGCGGGGGGGGGGTAAGTAGCTTGCCATATAAGAGCCTAACTGGGGCTTATCAGATATCCCCAATGCCAGGGAAAACTATTTTTATTCCCTGGTCCAACCATGAATGAAACAAGAGATCCTTATCCAAGGTTTATTCAAGGTTGGTTGAAGACTGAAAAGGGCTTATGAAGGGCTTATCCACGGCTCAAAGGACCAAAATCCCCCCAACCCCCAACGTCCCCAACCACCCTCCGATCCTCACCCAAACCTTCCCAGACCCCCCCCAGGCCCTTCCCCCCCGCAGACTCTCCCATACCTTGGTCCTAGTCTCCTTGGCTGAAGACTTAACCAGGCCTTGTTCAGAGCTTAACGGATAAGCATCTATTAGGCTTCTAATAAGCGCTTATTAAGATTTAATTTATTAAGCTTCTAATAAGGGCCTTACACAGAAGCCCCTAACAAACCTTTATATGATAAGCTACTTACACCCCCCCTTACCCCCCCAGGGTCTATGATTTCAGCTGTTCCTTCTAATGAATTAACCAATGTATTCGGGGTTGCACGTCAACCAACCCGACACTTCCAAGGAATTCAAGTCGGAGAAGGAATATGAAAGTCGTCGCTGGGCAGGACATAAGAACATAAGATGACCAGCCGTTGGCTGAAATTGAGCCATAGATGTAGATTCACATGATCCTTTGTGATGAATATCCACTTGGATCCTTTTCAGTGCTTTACAATCTGCTCAATCAAAACATAAGCTATACATACAGAATGAACAGGATACGAGTTTTGGGGGTTTGTCATGGTTTGTCCAAAATTGGGTAAACAATGCGTGGGTAAACCGCCCTGCGATCGCAATTCTTTCGGATTCAGGTGCAGTGCCTTTCTGAGGTATTCAGGCTGTCCGACGCGAATTCAAGACCACCCTATCCAAGCCCCAGCAACTTGGACATGATGGGCGAAAACTGGGTAAAACGACTGTGGGAAAACCCCAGGAATCATCAGTAAAAGCACCCAGTTTTTTGAGGGTACAGCCGGTACTGTACGGCTATCACTTTGTGCACGCACCTACGATTCCTGGGGTGAGAGGGTACACTTATTCAGAGCCAGCTGGGAAATGCCCAAACTGAATGGATGTGTCAAAGGAAGAAATCATCGAACTGAATTGGTGATTTTCCAGCACGCAATCTTTTTCTTTGCCGGAGGGTTTTATTCTGATTTCGTGGATAATTTTCACATTTTTTTGGGATGATGGTTCCAGTATGTTCCAGTTAAGATTTCTTGGGATTTTTCTCACACCCCTATTGCATGATTTCATGGAAATCAAGTGACCCTCGTTTGAACGGACGGTAATGGGGTAAACTAAGGACTTAACATGGTGGTGTAACATGATGTACCAAACATGGAGATTGGTATTGGATTTATGAGAGGCTTATGTTTGTAAACACAGATGTAGTAAGTGTTGGATCTTGTGATATAGCATGCCAGTTATATAAATGCTTGAACATAAATCAACATATACAAAATATTAGAAATACATGTAATTTATATTGATTTATTATGTTGTAGGTTTCAAGGCACCTAAGTACATGCCATTTCCATCCAATATGACGGCGACACTGCGCTGCGCAATTCTCCAGGATTGTGCGCGCGTACTATCGGTTGCTTGAGAGTGGGCGGATCCAGAAGAATGCATCCTTTGAAAGGAGCCTGGGACGGTGGGATATTGGATTTATAGAGTTTTCTTCTTTGAGCAGGTTTTTGTATCAGGGAAGATCTTTGCAGAAAGCGGCATGATGGTGAACTTGTCCTTCTGGCATACTGGGGACTCAGACTCACACTGCTCAATGCATTAGCATGATCAAGAGAAAAGGAACCCCGCAAAAGCTTGTAGGAATATGTAGGAGTCCCCTACTGCAAAGTCACAAAACAACTCCAAAGTTCAGACCCCCAAAGTGTCCTCAGAGATGGTTTGCTTGCTTTTTGCTGTCCTTGACGATCATTTGACTGTGCTCGATCTCAAGGTACAGCAGGCACCCCCAACTCAGGTATTTGAATCCGCCCGTCAAAGTGAAAGGGGAGGGCAAAGACTGACCCCAAAATTTCCTAAAATATCCTGGTTGGAATTTCAACTATAAAACTAGTGGACTTGGGTCCTCTGTAAAATATATTTTTCAATGGTTTTTACAGTCCCGTCAGGACCACGTGCCTTTGCATTTTGTAGCAACCCTAGATCATATATGTTTTCAGTTTCAAACATGGGCTGGGTCATAGTAGTGTGTAGTGCTTAAGTATACGAGATAATAGTCGATCCAAAATGGATATTTGAGTTCACTCAGATTTGCCCTAAAAGTACTTTGTAGTGAATTTGTAGGGTTCCACGTTCAATACTAATATTTCCCCAGAGTAGTGTGCAATTTAAACAATAGCGGGCCGTGGCAGTTTGTAGAAAAGACATCTTCGCAGTGCTCGAGTGAAATCACTGCTGAATTTGCGCTGCCATGTCTACTTCGACCCAACAACTGAGAAAAACATGCACAACACACACAAACCCAGGATTGGACAATCCATTTCCTCCCAATCTGTCACTCTGCTTTTCACTGCAAAGTCAACCAATACCGCACAAACATACCCTTCAATTACACTGGCCGCTGCATACCCAAAGCCCAAAGAGGTCCACTACAAAATCAAGTTGCAGCGTTTCAACATGTTTCAACGCTACAAAATCTATTTCAAGAAATCTTTGTCCCTCCCCCATGGCAACCACCTACTGTCATCGATCATCACAAGACCACACACGACCAGGTTTTCTGGCGCCTGCATTTGTCATTTACTGTAATTTCTTACTTTAAAACGGCAATTCTGCTCACTTTTCTGCCCAAATCAGAATCGCGACTTTCTGGACTATCACCGTTTGCTGTTACTTTCGGATATGCGTCAATGTCCATGCAGCTAGATTTGGAGATGTGGGGAATAGCTTCCCGGGTTTCGCTTTGGTGTTGCTGCGCTGTATTTGGGACATAGTAAGGCAAAACAGAAATCAAATGAACATTGATGCGCAACAAAATACAACAGCAAAAACATGTGCCCTCTGAAGTGCCCTGACTGAAAGCCAATGCCAGTCACTACAAAATGTAACTAAAAAATCAAACATATGCACCATCTTGCAGGATCTCTTCCACATGAAAAGAGCTTGAATGTTGTAGGCCTGCTGCTGAGACACGCTGGGTCTGTGACTTCTCTTGCATCACGATAAGGATCACTACAAAATGCAAGCGCTAAAAAACAAGGCATTTAAATTCGATCAGTGGGATCTACTTAAAAATCGCTATAAACATCTAATTTGTTTTTAAAGAGGATCTTGAAAGGCCTCTTCTCACATCCCTGTTTTTTTTGTAACCCTTTATCCAGGCTGGGTTGCACTTTTGTAGCGATTTTTTTAAAGCCTGCGCATGGATAATGTAGTGTTTGGGGTTTGGCAGCACCGCTTTACAGCTACAAAACCATGACCCAACAGTCATCCCCAAATGCCAACCCCGATCCTAAAATAATATCTGTTGTTCCAATATATGTTCCCTGTTTGTTTTTAAATCTCTCAATTCAGATCCAGAGAATCTGTCACCCCTTTTCCGACCTCCCAGGGTTTTTCCGCTCGACCTCCAGGATCGCCACCAAGAAATCGGTGCGGTCCAACTCTGGGGCCACTTGGTGAACGACACGTGTCGATGCCGACACCGAAGACACCGTGGTCATCCGTGGTCCACGTTGCGATAAGAGCTGAGATTGCAACCCCGGGCGATATTCAAATGGTTTCAAATGTATCCCAGTTACGTTTGGATATGTTTTGACACAAGCATAAGCCAGTTGTAAGAAGCAGTTCCCAAGTTCAGGGTTCATTCATTCCAGTAAACTATAAAGACCTCGTGATCTCACAATAAATGATGGTGAGTAAGGGAATATGCCATCCCATGCTCTCTATTTCCAGCTTCTGAATTAGCTTATATGTTGCACAGCGATATTTCAGTAAAATCCTTACCTTCAGCTAGGCCGGCTCCCTGGAATGTTTTGCTGCTTCATGTGTTTCGAATCTGCTAAATCTATTCCTGGTGTTCTAATGCCCCCGGCCTTCACTCCAGGTTCCTCATGGTTCCCCTCAGGTTGTTGTGATCACCATCGTCACAGCTCCTGGTCGCTTCTCCTGTCCGAACGACTGTTGCTTGGCCGTGACCGTTGCTCTGTGTAAGTTAATGGGCGACACATTGGTGACACCGCTGGATCGTAGCCACAATCCCTCAGATCCCTCAGATCCCTCAGATCCCTCAGATTTTCAAGTTCTTTGACGTATTTGATGGGTGTCCAATATATCTCACTGAAAGTTCCAGAAATGTAGGCCTTCCTGGCTCTGTGTTGCTCCTGACATTGATCTGTCGATAGCCTTGTCATTCCTCGGATTCTCCCATTGACCAGATATTTCAGTCACCTGGCAATCGAATCTGAGTTGGGTTACAGTTACATCAGGCCAAATTTTTGGGAACATAGTGTTAACATGTTTCTGACATAGACGTTACCGAGACCTTACAATTGGTTCGGTAACTCAATGGGTTTGTGGTTTGCAACATGTGTTTATTTTCTACCAGCAATTGGCTGACAATGATATGACACTGATAAAGTTTCAAGCCACCAAGCAACATGTTTGACGCATGTTTGAGTTAACAAAAAATAGGATGATCATCCTACTCTCTGGTGTCATCAACCGTGGCTTGCTGCAAAATCCTCCATTTAGTTCGATGATTTTCGCAGCTAGACATTTTCCCAGACAGCCACCACTCAGATAGTACATTCATATATATATATATAGAATTGTATATATATATATACATTCCCATGATATCCATTGATATCCCATATTATTATATTAGTGAATTGCAACCTATTGAGCCATGGAATCGCTATGAAATCACCATGAAATCATCAACTCCCATCGGTGAGCGAAGCAGGTTACTACTGCCCTGATGAGCCAGGACAGCCCCGAAGCTACTTGAGCACGGAGCCCGTTTCTTGGCGACACGGGTGGACATGACCAAAGATTGGGAGTTTACAAATGTGGGGTATTTATTGGGTGTATAATATATATGTGTGTGTTTTTATTCAATATATTATATACCTTTATATACATAGTAAATAGATAAATAAATAAATAAATAAATAAATATATATATATATTATGTATAATAATATATATATATATATATTATGTATATTTATGTATAATCATATATATATTTATTATGGTTTTATAAGCACTGAGAACGTTATAGTACGTTATACTGATTTCATGTTTTCTGTTTCACCTTCGAGATGGGATGATCCAAATTGACTAGTGTTGTCGCAGGTGATGATCAAGGCATTGCAGTCCGCCGCATTTGGTGTTTTGTTAAGGTGTTCCAACCTGACAACATAAGTACTGTTTAATAAATACATAAATCTGTATAATCATGTATGTATATATATATATATACTGGTTGGTGGTTTGGAAAATTTTTTGTTTGTCCATAATATATTGGGAATCATCATTCCAACTGACTTTCATATTTGTCAGAGGGGTTGAAACCACCAACCAGATGTTATATATATATATAATTATGTATATGTGATATGCATGATTATATCATTTCACAATACACACATGAATTACATATATATATATATATCTCGGCAAATCATCACGACCTCACTGCGACCTCACTGGAATGATGGTTACTATAAGGGGAATTATCCAGATTAACTCGAAGCTATTTCAGGGTAGTGAGTTGTGTGAATTAGTGAATCAGTTTTTTTTTCCAGAAATGTATTCACACATTGAGAGCATTGATTTCGAATATGACCGAGCCCACCCGCATCTTGCGGAGGCAGTGGCCCGTGCCAATCAGAACGACTTCGACCCTGTCAGGCCCTAGAAGATGACGGCAGTAAGCTTTTGGGGATTGGAATTGGGATATGTTTCATGGGGCACATACCAAACAATATGTCTTATGTATATACATATTCATATAGATATTTTGATATTGTGTTTCAACATGGGATAGACTGCATAATATCCATATGTTTTTGTTTTTTTTTTGTAATGGGATAATTAGACTGAACATACATATGGGTGTTAGACGGGATAAACGGAATATAAATATTATGTTTTTAAGATGGGATAGACTGAATATATGATTTATGTGCCTTTAAACATTGGGTGTACCATCAAATGTCAATTTTAAGAGGGACATGGATGATGATGATGATGATGATGGTTGTGGTGGTGGTGGTGATGGTGATGGTGATGGCGATGATGATGATGATGATGATGATGATGATGATGATGATTATGATGATGATGATGATGATGACGAACCATCAAATGTAGTGGCAGTGGTATCCTATTTCCAGACAAGCCCACATATGAACACATATTGTAAAACTGGGAGAACAATTATCTATCAGCTAGGAGATAATAAGCGGCAGATGATTATTTCTTTTATCATATTAAAGATGAGCGTTGAATCAAACCTAAATCATCCTTCAACCATTGGGAACACCTGGGTTGGTCCAGAAACATGGACATATTGAACAATGAGAGGCAGGAGTCCAAACCTCTAGCCCTGGCAACAAAAGGTAGACATTCCGGATTGAACGATGCTGATGGAACGTTCAGATGTGCCAAGTGTACATAATTCTTACTTGACAATAGTCGGGGTAATTCTAATTGACATTTGTAATGACCTGTTTGTTCTCCCTCATTGGATTGATGGTTAGTAGTGGCGGGCAATTATCCCAATATCAGCCGAACTTTTCGGGTTAGTGAATTATCATAATTTACTGTACCCAGAACAATCGCTCAAAACTGGTAGTTGTTTGGGTTTCCTGGATACGATTTCGTTGCAACAGGCAGTTCTACGACCGTGCTGGAACTCTGGCAAAGCAGGGCCACACTGTAGACGCTGGGTTTTTGAGGACAGCTGAGTTTCCGAGGAGAGGCACCAACATTTTGGAACTACAACTTGGTGCATTCCGGTGAAGCAAATATAAATACATGCATTCAATATAATATATATATATGTATACATAATTATACATATACATATACACATAGATATAGATATATCATATAGATATAGAATATAGATATACATATACATATCGCTGCTAACAACAATCGAGAAATACCCGGGCCTCTTTTCTTTTGCCCAGTAAAACAACTACAGACCAATGTTGGTGGACAATCAGGGTTTCACAATTTGCAGAAGAAATCACCTAAAACTGACATGGAGCCAGACAAATGCGGTGTAGAACATGATTTTCCTAGTGGAAATTGCAATTTCATGGATTCCAGGTTTGTTTTCAGGGTTATAGATCAAGGTTTTAAGTGATTTCCTTACCTTCTTACCAGGGGGCTGTCACAACAACATGCAAAAACCATGGCTGAAGTCATGGTGCAGCCAAGGATAAAGTGGAGATCATTGTGCTGGGTGGAACCTGGTCCCACTACCCTCGGGACTATCAGGACACTGTTTTCAAGCGGTGGATTGGCAACAAAAATCCAGTTCTATTCACTGTAACCTGGCTGGAGATCTCCCTTGAAATTTGCTGTTGTCGATCTTTCCCGTTCAAAATGGGGATTATCCATCATGGAATCATTGACTATGAATTTCAGCCATATACATACATCTAAACTTATTTACATACATGTAGCATGTGGATATTCATGTGTACCTAAACTTTATCTCATATCCATCTCCGTCTCCTTCTCAGGTCGAGTGGTATTCACGCATTTACATATATATATAATATATATATATAACACATATGTATATATACACATATGTATATATATATACGTGTGTCTCTCTCTCTCTCGCTATACGCCCATGTATTTGTCTATGGATGTTACACCCCATGCCTGTACTTGTTTCTTGTCTCTGGATATTGGATTTTCAGTTTGCATATTCCCCGCACATTTTTCTCAGACTGGCCACGAATTTCAGGAGGAGTTCTGCCGCGATTTGTTCTACGCGGCCAACACCTTCGACGAAGATCTCAGCAAGTTGGGGGTCACTTCGCCGGGAAGTGGGACCGCTGAAAAACCGCTGGGAGCGACCAATGGCGACCTGAAATAGGAAATAAGTCGATGAAGTCTTCTGAGCCAATATGTATGTAAATTTATAACATGTAATTATAATTAATTGTATTTTCATGCACAACCAGCAACAAGTTATCCAGCAAGGAATGGATGTGTAGCGAGAGTTTCTGGGTGGTTGATATCACCAGTCAGAGCCGTATATGTGGCTTGGTATGAGCTGTCAGTGGCCAGCAGTTGTTTCAGCTTTTGTACATCCCCTCTTGAGGAAAAGTCCAACATGAATGAGCATGAATGAGTGCTCCAAATTTGCTTCAGGATATGGGCTGGTAAAGTTTGATCCAATATATACTAATATATACGTGTATCATGTATATATAGACATACATACATATCTTTCAATCCACAGATACAATCTATTTTGCGTTTGAATCTGACAAATTGCTGTCTTAGGAGAGGGGCGACAAAGCCGCCCGGATCCGAGAGCGAAGGTCCTTGTTTCTTGTCCGCCAGAGGGATATCTCTTCATTGGCTTGGCTGGAAAGTGGAAACCTCGAACCGACTGGGATTTTACCATCCATCATATATATATAATCATAAATATATATATATGATTATATATATATTTATGATTATATATATATATATGTCTATATATATATATATATACATATACATACTGTGAGTGGCAGGTGACCTCACACTGGCAGCACTGATCCCTTTCCCTCTTTTCCCCTCAAAAGACACCAAGTCCTTTGCTGCGAAGCGTCTCCAGGACACCAGGCTAAGGGCTCTGGACCCTTCGGCAGAGCAGGTTCCAGCCAAGCTTTATGAGACAGGCCCCAGGCCTTAAAGATTCACAGAGTGGCCTCGTTCCAATCTATGGCTCACAGCACAAGGTTCCCACCCTCCAACAATCCCAAGGCCCTCCTGAGCCTGCATGTGCTAAACAAGCGGAAAAGATGCTTTGAGACCCCATGTTACGGATACTTCAGAGTTTGACAGGAGAGGGTGGCGCAATGATGTTGAATCACAAAATACATATATATATATATACAAACATACATATACATATTATATATATATATATGTAGATAGACTTTTACTGGTGCACAGTTTGTTGGGTAGCTTGGTTTATTAGAGTGGAAATATCTATGGCTTGTCACAACGACTTCGCAGGCCGAGGTCAGTGATGGCGTACGGAATTACAATGTGGTGCCGGGCCCCAAACGATATTTAAGTTGGTTTATAAGCCTATGACTACTAGACATATAAGTAATTCTCATAAACCATACTTATTGGACTTATGTTTACAAACTTGGCTAGCCCCACATCGTATCATTAATTTACATTAAAAGATTGTAGTTTTACTAGCAAACCTCTTGACTTTTTGTCTTAACATCATTTCGCAAAATCATACCTTGGGATGTTAACAAGTTGCACCCCCTCGCACAAACACATCTAAGACATCAAAGGAGACCGCCTGAAGTTCATTGTGTCACATTTAGAGGTAGCGGCAAAGCTTTAAGACGCGGGGGTTGTTGTTGGAGGCTTTCATCTCTGAAACTCTTTCCATATTATCGAAATTGCACATACCGTCTGGTCATTTAAGATAGCTATTGGAAATGGACATTGATAGTTTATTTAGCCATTAAATAGAAGGTAATCAAACTACTTTATTTAGCGGAAGGGATTAACGTCTATGATGAATGTGCGACGACTATGAGGGATGCACAAGTGCAGCAGTGACCGTTTTGTATCCCTAAGATACATTTCTGGTACATATTTTTGTATATGTATACACATACAGCATTTATATATAGATAGAATTCTATAATGTATATATATATGTATATGTATATATATATATACATGTATTTACATATACAGACAGTTTATATTTATATATATATATACACACATTTGTAGTAACATACCGTACCCAACTCTTGATTCACAATCAACGACAATGCAACATTAACCACAAGTCCAGATGATTTTCTGGGAGCAATGGTTGGTTTTCGCAGCTCAGGCTAGAAGAGCAGCAGTTGAATGAGGCAAGGCATGTGGAAACGGGAGGACTTTTGTTGGGATATGACACGGGATCATATGGGTATACAACCAGTAATTCAACGGGATATTTGGATGATAAGAGGGGATCCAATGGGAATATATATATATATATTGATTGAGTAACAACTTGAGCTATCCAACGGTTATGAAATTATCCCATAGAGAAATAACCTTCACAATAAGCAACACACGACGATTTAAGAATATGTGGGTAGTCATTAAGCCATAGTGAATGGTAGGTTAAACCGTACCAGAAGGTACTGTCGATCTTTGCCAAAGCGAATCATGGTCTCAGCTCAAAGTCACATGTTGAAAATTGGCACATCTTTGATCATCTTTCATTTGATATACTCGTTATCTGAACACAAAGAACTGGTTCAGAAGTCTTTAGACCTTTAGAAGAAACACTGAGACTAGTTGTTTTTGCATCAGACTTCTTGGAAGGAAACACAAGTAGGCGAGCAATTAATTAAGCCATCCATTTGAAAATCCAAAAGTGTTTCCTAAGTAGAACTTTCACAGTTCACAGATGCAGGTGGCCGTGACCAAGATCATTGGCCTTACCCTGGCTGCTTGGTGCGAGTGTAGCTGTGCCATCGCTGGATCTTACATCCCCAGGATTATTATTTGCATAAAAGTATACAGTATACATAGCAACCCTGAATTTATACACAGTGGTTGGTTTCTTGCGGGTGATCAATTGCTGATCGCTGGAATTTAGCCTAAGCATTTTTTCCAAGTTACCACAGAATTCTTGGGCACTTCTAAGAATGATTTCGTGAAATCTCTGAAGTTCCCCTCCCATCCCATCGCCCAGCATGTTTCATTGCCTCCAGGGCCCCCAGCACTTAGGAGACCCGTCCGGATCACATCACCCCAGCTGAGTTGCGGCGCCTGCGCCGCTATGGCTGCACACGTGTGCAGATCGGGGTGCAGCACACGCATGACGACGTGCTGCAGTTCGTGAACCGCGGGCACGACCGTGCTGCGGTACCTTGGAGATATGGAGGGCTGAGGTCTGGATGATGAAGATCTATTTAGTGATATGACATATATATATATATACATATGTATTATATTTGTTTTTATAAAAATACAAATATACATATGTACTATTTCTATATATACACATGTTTGTCAAACTTTGTTTTTATATTTGTATGTGTATCTGTCTGTCTGGCTGTCTGGCTGGCTGGCTGTCTGTCTGTTTGTCTCTATCTATCTATCTATCTATTTATCTATCTATCTATCTATCGATCTATGTATCTATCGATCTATCTATCTACCTAGATATCTACCGGGATATTTGTTTGTATTGTGTATCTATCTATCCAATCTGAGCTAACCTAATCTAATCTACACTATTTCTTTTTTCAGTTCTAATCGTATCTAATCAAAACTAATCTACATTGTCTAATCTAATCCAATCGAATTTCATCCACTCCAAGCTAAGCTAAACTAAGCTAATCTAATCTAATCTAATCTATGTCAGATAAGGTAAATACTATCATTGATAATGGGTCACCATGATGGATGTTCAGCACTGATGTGCTTTTAGCATGTTTAAGCCATAGATGATCAACAATATGGTATATAAAATGTGGGTAAGATATCGCATGATATAGCTTGCAGAAAGAGGGATGTTAGGCATTGTGGATTGTGGATCAAGACCTTATACCGACCCCCCCCAAAACATCCGAAAACGATAGATCTATATTTTCCGGGGATGATGTGTTTCCCATATTTTCAAGGTTACTACACTGATGTTCATTGTATGTTTCAAGGATGTGACGCCGGCATCACAATGCGTCACACCGTTGAGACGCCGAGGCGGTGAGGGCCACCCGGCTGTTGAAGATCGCTGGCTTTAAGGTGGACATCCATTTGATGCACCTCGGCTGCAGACTTCAAAAGCACAGTGAAAACCTTTTTGGAGGACCAAATATATTTGGGGATGTGGTTAAAACCTATGAATTTGCTGTTCATATTTTAAGGGGAATGAAAACAAACACTTAGCATGTTATTTGGGTATTTACCAATTATGATTTATGATGGTGCTGACCGATGGCCATATCTGAAGACTTTTTTTGGATGGTTCATGATGATTCAACTATAGTGGTCCCCAGAAAGGGTGTTACAGTGAATTATCATCAGATCTGTCCAGGACGTGCCTAGTTTTGGAGTTCCGGTAAAACGTTTTTTTTGTTGGGTAGTCTGATGATTGTTATTGTCAATATTGCTACCCTCTGGAAATTGAACATAGCAATGGAAAATTCTCCATGTTTTCCCCATTAAAACTCCATTCGTGCAGGATGTTCAACTGCTATGTATGATTACCAGGGGGTATTTCTGTGCTTTTGTTTTTAATTTTGATTTGCTGCAAATGGACATGTTATTATATAGACAATAGATAAATATATACAATTTATATTGCACAATGATCATGTTCTGTTTTGGAGATATCATATGATGTTTTGTCATATCAGGTTGTATCTCATCGGTTCAAGCGGTATTATATTTGTTTTGCAGTACAAAATTATATGCTGGTGTAGAGGGTATAGTACACTATATTGTGTTTTAGTCAATATGTCCTTTTACTATTTGGTATTGTTGAACTTAGATTGTGGTTTGACGTATTGTTTGGTGTTTATACACTTTATTTGACTGTGAAATAGGTTGCCCATATCAAATGTTACAGTATCATACTACGTTCTATTAGATGTGATGATGTCATTGTACTTTTGTTCTATAGATGTTATATGCTGTTATATCACATGATATTGTATTGTATTGTAAATTATGTATATATGTGTTATATGTTTTTTCATAGCTTGATTATGCTGCATTTTACTATACCATGTTTGACGATATCGCTTTACATAGATTAATCAGTATTGTATATAGATTGAACATATCCTGGATGCTCCATGTATGGAATATTTACCCACATTTACCCCACAATGGCCCAAATGTAGGTAAATCTTCCATATATAGAGCATCTGGGGCATGTAAATACTCCCAACTAACTGTCGTTTTTCTAACGGTTTTTTCGATCTTTTTTTTAATGTTCGGCGGTTTTTCGGTCGTTACCAGTCCTTTTCGATCCCATTCCAGGCCTGATTTGCCAAACTCAGACACGGAGAAGGATTGGGAGATGTTTCAGGATGTGCCGGCCCCATGAGATGGGCCCTGGGATGGTGACCGTGTATCGCTGGTGACCATGGGATGGTGATCATGTTAATCAGTACAGTGACAACCAGTGATATATCTTAATTAAATGTATATATATATTTTTTGATCATATCATATTACTACTAAGTGATATATCTTGAATATTTTTGATATGATCAAGATAGGATTGGGTGAAAAGCTGTGATACTTGGGATGAACTTGACTGATACCCACCTGGGACGTTCATTTACTTATCATCATTGCCCTGACGGATAGAAGGATAGAAGGACATACGCACACACACATATATAAACATATATATATATATTAAGGGACTACGCCCCCTGCCGCCGACCCCAGGGAGTGTTGCCTCGGGCGGCGAGCGGGGGGTTGAACTTTGGATATCGGATAGAGTTTATATATAGCACGATCCGCGTTTCATCTTGTGATCCATCTCTGGATATTTTGACCATGAGCTCTGAAGAGATGCAATATTGGTGGTTGTTGGTGCGTGGAGGGAATCGGAGGAAGAAGGGGGAGATCGTCAAGCTGAAGCATAATATTGACGCTGCGGGGTTGACATTGGAGAAGGTTCTGGCCATGGCCGCCCAATTCCACACGAATGAGTGCCACAAGTACATCACTGGCACCCGAGCAGCATGGCAAGTGGACGCAGCTTGGTATCTGGGCTGAGGCATGTGAGAATTTTCGATGCAAAGACATGTTGGCAGCATGTAGTGTCGACAACGTGATCAGTTGACGGAGAAACTTGAAGTATCAGCACTGTTTTATTCGAAACATTACAGGAGCAGTGTCGGCAGCATAAAGTTTGGAAGGGGGGTTGGCAGAGGGGAGCACGGGTAAGAGTGAAGCTGCAGTAGGGAGAGGTGTTCTCGATAGGAACCAGAGCGAAAAAGCAGCATCTGCTTAGGTTGGATGAGTTCCAGAACCCGGGCAAATTGCTCATGCGGCCGCACTTCGAAGACACCTTGAAGCAGCTGGGCTTGCTGCGCGGGGCAGAGAAAACGCAGAGTGTTGATTGGCAACTTGGCGTCTGCCGTGGGGTACCCTGAGTCTCCAAAACTAGTAAATTTACTAATTTAGTAAATTTACTAATGGGGAAGAATTTACATAAATGTTTCTCCATTTTTCTTGATATTAGTAAATTTTGTGAAAAACGAAAAGTGCATCAAAAGTGCATCGACCGTGCAGTTTTTTCTTAGCATTTTTGATTGATTTTTTGATTTTGTAACAGAAATGCAGTAGCATATTTTAGATTTAGTGAATGTCGTTTTAGTTCACAAAGTGACAATCCAATTTTTCCATAACAAAGAATTAGTTTTCTCACATACTCGTATGTTTAATGGATATGACCAAGTAAAGCCAGAATCTTTGCAAGTGACCAGTCAAGTAAGGACTTTTTATAGATTACCAAAAGTAAAGTCAATATTCTAAAGTCAATACCATAAAGCCCAAGAACTCATGTAAATCTACCTGGTGACAATGAACCTGCAATTGAACTGAACTTGAAGACGAAGCTTTTCTTGCCTATGAACTCGAACGACACTTTGGCCATTGATGCTTGCAAGCCAGAGGTACTGAAGAAAATGCTGCTGCCAAAGTTTTGGGCTGCTGCCAATGTCAGTTCCTTCTGTGGATTCATCTATGCTTATGTAAACTCTGTTTATGTGCATCTTGTGCAACGGGCAGCTCCAAAAGGAAATTCCTTATGCCAATCCACCCTTATTTTTCAGGTTTGTTTTTGTTTTTTTGGGTACCCATTAGTTAATGTACAAATATAATACATAGAGTAAATCCCAAATAGCATTTTATAAAACTTAATCATGAGAAGTAAGTTGAATTAACTTTTGTTGCTGAGCATTGTTTTGCTACCCACTGCAGTACACCAAGAAAAGATGCATTGTCTCTGATTTCATGTCAGGATTAGATATTTTGCATAATTCGATTTTCCACCAGGGGCCTAGATCTCATGTAAATCCGACCACAAAACCACAACATCTCAAGTAAATTCTTTGTCACAAACCCGCAAGGCTCATGTAAAATCTTCCACAAACACATCTACAAATCTATCACAGCATAACCCATCTCAAGTAAATTCTCTGATGGAAACATGTCTAATCTTTCCCAACCTCACGAGTTTTAAGAAAATTCTTTGTCAGGCACTAGCCAAAAAACAACATCAAAAATGCAAACCCAAAAAAAAAGGTTGGATTAGTAAATGCATTTACTATCATTTACTATAGCGTTAGTAAATCAATTTACTAGCGTTAGTAAATTTTACTAACGTTAGTAAATTTTACTAACGTTAGTAAAAAGTTACGTAAATCCACGTTAGCAAATCCCAAAATTTACGTAAATTATTGGGCACCTAAATTTACTAGTTTTGGAGAACTCAGGGTAGGGTCGCGATGCCAAAAGCTGGTGGATCGTAAAGCGTGTCGAAGCCAGAAGGGAATGTCATGGCTCGTGGTAGGGAAGTGCAGGGGTTTGGCAACGTGTTACCGGTGATGGACTAGCAAGGTATTGCGGAAAAGGGTCGGAAGAGTAGAAAGTGTTTAGGGGGCTTGCGTCAGGAACTCGACGCATTCAAAGAAGTTTGGACGCATGGTAGGGGCCACGGCACAGACATTCCTGGAGGAGACGATCGTGGAGCTCCAAAAGATATTTCTTCAACTGAAGACATCGTGAAGGAGGCGCGAGAGACAGGAATAATCCCCATCAGTGCCTGTAAGTTGTGATGAGCGTATTAGAGACGCTTGCCAGCAAACCTGCAGGGGGCATGGTAGTGTTGGAAAGAGAGCAGAAATGTGGAAAAGGCTCAAGAAAGGTATAGAGTTGGTGTGTGGGAGCTGCTTGTGTTAAAGCGGCGAGTGTGAACATGCCAAGAAAAAACACGCTCTGCACAGCTCGGGTCCAAGGACCTTGTCGCAGGCCCGCCTTCCTGCACTGCCGGCGAAGCTCCAGTCAAAGGACGGCCTCGCAGAGCCAAAACACCATGGCAGTGAAGCGCGGATCGGGCCAGTCTCGAGCCAAAACACCATGGCAGTGAAGTGCGGATCGCTCCTGCACTGCCAACTGCCAACTTGCCTGCATCCTCTTGCAGCTGGCTTTCGTGCTGCACGGCTCCGGTCAAGGGACCCCCTCGCAGGGCCCAATGGCAGTGAAGGACGGCCCAAACACCACGACAGTGAAGGGCCTGCGGGCGGCCTTGCTTGTCCAATTTTCTCTCTTCGCCCCTTGTTGCTAGTAAGGCCTCCTCTGACGCGCTCCCCCTGCTGGCGGCAGGGGTCGGCGGATATACGCACATACATATAAACATATACACATACACATAACTATACATAACATGTGTATACAATGATATAACAGCTTCATGGAAGGTCATAAAAATCTTCTAATCGCAACTGTTTGACGAAAGCATCCGTGAGAACATCAGGGTTGGCTGCTGGCAGGTGCTCCATGGAGAGGATCTGCAAGCCGATCATTGGAAGATCTACCCCTGTGTCCCTTGGCCGTGGCAACGTCGCTTCTCAGCGGTGGAATCTTGTGAGTAGGAATATAGATGCATTACTGTATATAAACAGTAAAACAGCAACTACAGTCGATAGTTACAACTATAGTAGTAAGTATATAATTATAGGTGTATAGACTACTCTGTGACTATTGTTCATTTGTTCACTTGGTATTGGACCTGTGGAAAAGCTAAAACCTGTAATCAGGGAGGATGCGCACACAATACAGGCGAGTGCTAAGTCAACTGTGACTGCCAGAAAGATGCAGCATATCTTCCCCAAGGATCCCAAGGTGTGTTTTCCATTGTTTTCCGAAATAGGTCAACAAAGGCCCTGCTATTAGAAAGCAAGGCCACATATTGGGTCCTTTTACAGTATCATTTTGGTTGGATGCGTGGCTTCGTTTTGCGACATGGGTATGTGGCCAACCCCCTAACAACCGGCAGTTGTTGATGCTTTATGAACTTTACTCACAAACCAGTTGAAAGAGTTTTGAAACCCTATTCTTCCCATTGAAGTGTTGTCCACCTTGATTTTGAGTGTCATTTTTTTTGTCCTCACCACTGACGTCAGGAAGTTACTCCATTCACACGGATCGAGTGGCCAGGTTGCAGCATATGCTCCATGTACGCTCCATGCACGGAATATGTTACAACATTTGCCTAACAGATGACCGAATGTAGGTCATTACTTGAATATGTCGTACATCGATGGTATTTGTGTTTGATAATTTATTGAATAATTTGAATAGGGTGATATAATAGTTTGGTCAAGTATCTAAGTATTTCAATGTCGTACAAAGTTTCATTAGTTGATAGTCTTTGTTTTGGATGGACACTTGGCTCATTGAGGACTTGGTACAAGGACTGGCTTGCGCTTCGAACTGGGCGAAGGTAGAAACTTGAAAACTAAGGCAGCTCATATTTAATGGGTCGGGTCGTGACCAAAGCGTACCCCGGTTGGAATCGCAGTATCCATTCATGAGCGCCACTTTGACCAATTTTGACTTGTAGATTCCATCAACCTCTTTATTCACGAAGCCGGCAGTGGAACATCCACTTTGTTGGCCTGAAGGAAATTGTCCCTGTTTCTGTGGGCTAGTATCATCATTGCTGACCCTCTGTTTCTTAACGTAGCCATTGAAAACCACCATGTTTAATAGGTACAGTAAACCATCATATGAATCATCACAAATCATGGAACCAAATGGGCAGTTGGCTTCCATAGCAAACTGGCTAGAGTAACTACAGTAACTAGGTAAATCCTATGAAATCCCATATTTCTCTGTTGGTCACTGTCAACTGATCCAGTATCCAAAACTCATACCCACAAACCGCTTGTTATGTCCTTGGAATCAATGGAAGCCAAAGAGTTTCTCTGTGTGACATGCGAAAGAAACCGACAGTTGTTGCAACCTATCAACCTGGCAATGTTTTTGATCGGAATGGTTTCGAAATTGTAACCATGTGATTCCCAAACAACCTAACAATGATATACAATGATTGTGATAGTTGAACATGTCAAGAACTCCCCATATTGAGCCATGTTTCCGATTGATACCTTCCAACTAACATAAACCTTGAAATTCAATGGGTTGGGAACGCTACTTTCCAACCTAAAGATGGGCATCAATAACCCACAATCTCCCATGTATTAATCCATGTTTTTGTTAGCCTCTTTCGCCTGTTTCATAGTAACTGCCTCAACCCCAAAAACCATGGATTTTCACAGGTTTAGATCAACCAAGCCCCCCATTTTAACCATGGATGGTCCCACGTTGGCAGAGCCGCATCTTCCAGGAGGGGAAGTACATCCCCTACACCGAAAAGGATCCGAGGCTCCTCACTGAGCTTTTGGCGCGTGTCAAGGTGGGGTCGTTCATCGGAAGGGCGAAAGGGACTGAGAAATTTGCCATGGAAATGGACAGTGTATAGTACAGTAATGTACAGTATATGGTCAGTGGATATTAGTGGTATGGACATTGATATGAATGAATCTGAATTCAATTTGATGGATGTTAATTGATGAATATTATAGTTAATGGATGTTAATGGGAAATTAGAGGGATATCATGGGGATATGATTATCTGCCAGTGATCAAACTTTGGAAGTGCCTTGTTTCCCGCCCAGTTCACTAGTTCGTAGCTATCGATTACTATCCCGTCAATTCATCATACTTAGTCTAGTACTAGTTATGATTACCAAGTTGACAAAGTTAACAAACTGGGGCGCCAACTTGTAGCTGGTGCGTGTATAACTTCTTTGATACCAGGGGCCCATCCCTGTCCCGTGGCGAATGATGCTGGATACATCATGATACATCTACAGTTAAATGGGTGAGCGTAAACAAGCCACCCAGAAACCCTGGTTTGGCATCGTTATTGGGTCCAAAAAATCGGGGGTCTTAAGATATGACGGGGATGGGATTGTTATAGGCCAAATCATTGTTCCAATGGATACTATCCAACATGACATTCCCCAAGCAAAATCCCTCAGTCCCCAGTGTTCAGCAGGACAGTTTGGAGGGTGCTCGAACCCATCAGTTAATTCCCAATTCATCCACCATTGGCCGAATTGCACCTCCAAATTTTCCCATAGACCCTAGAGATAGCCAATTTTGAGTGGAAAGCCATCTTTTCATTCTCTATTTGGAGCTAATCCTCATGATCCAGCCCTGGAAATTCCTCCCATTTGACAAGTAGACCTGGGGTGTGAACCCGGTGAACCCCCCTAAATCCCCAAGTTATTTGTCATTGACCTCCAAGTAATCCACCATTCATCCCGATCATTCCAATCATTCCAATTCCCATTGGCCCATGAAAAAATGTGGATTACTTCAAGATAAATCCCATCATTGATGAATGGTGGATTACTTCCCCAAGATACCCTCTGGTAAACTAACATAACCGTGAAAAATCACCATTTTAAAGAGGTAACTCAACTATAAATGGTCATTTTCAATAGCTACTGTATGTTAGTTTACCAGAGGGTACTTCCAATACTTCCCCAATTGATGAGTGATGGAAGTCCTGCATCTCCCCCATTGGAGCATGGTGCTTCCAGGCAGAGGTTCATCCTTGGATTCGACTCAACCGCTCCTCGGTCATTGGCCTCTGGCTTGGAACGAACTAATGATGAAGATAGTAGGTCTAGATGCTCATATCTATGTGTATACATATCAGTTTTGTTTTGATTTCTCCATGTAATATGTCTATGATCTTGTATATTAGATATTATATATGAAATATGATATATATATATATATTTGCATACCACCACATACCTATATTTATAGTTCTTTAAACCTCTGTCTAGATATACCGGGAACGGGTTGATTTCGACCGCATAGCTTTCGCCTCCCAGGTGTGATTCGAGATATCCCAGAGGTGTCTATCGTGGCGGGTAATTCCTTGACCAACCTGCGACAGGCCATCTTTGTTCCTCGGTGCCAGGAATTTTGTTGTTTGTGGGTAAAACAATGAGCATCTTGCGAGGAAGTCCTGAGTTTTATATAGAAAACTATTGTGTTATTGTGTTATCATCAGAACAAGAGTATTCAAATGAGAGTAACAATAGATGTCAGAATCTCGCGAATCTCCACAGCGAATCTCCACAGCCAAGACATGTTCGAACATGTACAAATCTTTATAGATTCATGCCATTTCTATCCATCACATACTGTAGAAATCCAGATCACATTTCATAATGTTCATCACATACAGTATAGATACATAGTATTATCATGTATTATCTATAGCTGGGATAGATTCATGTCATTTCATGTATCCATCACAGCCAGATCACAGCCAGATCTCATCCCAGCGTTGGTCACAAAGGAAGTCCTGAAGTCTCGCGGCCAGTGCTGCCGATGCATCCGCTGCCGGGAGGCGATGGCGATGTAAGTTCTGTTCAATGTGACTCTACATAAGTTGCTGCCCCCAGTGCTATAACTAATCATATATAATCATATATATATATATATGAGGGATTGATATATGTTAGTTATATGTTAGTTATATCTTAGTTATTTCTTAGTTGATTAATTATAGTCATAGTTGTTATTGTTTCACCATGTAATGTGTGTCCCACTTCACTATAGTTAATTGTTAACTAGTATAGTTAACTAGTATAATTCACTACGTTGATATATACATATATATCCCCGCGGGTTTTATGCAGAACTGATCCTACTTGTAGTCGAGTTTTGTGGCTCCCAAACTACTTCAAAAATTGGGTCACCGCCAGCGTAGCGTGCTGTCCGACTTGCTCTGGAATCACAATAAAAACATGTATATCACCACTACCAATATTCCGATATATAAGTATAGCATATAGCATATGTATGCATATGATAACATGTTATAACATATTGATATGGTTCAATGGTCTATATTTACATATTAATTTTATATATATTATACCTGGATCACCTTGATCGTGAAAATTTCCACACCAAAGCCAAAATCGATCAATTTTGCCAAATTCAAGAGAAAAAGAACTCCTGAACGATTATTTCCACTCCAGAACGCTTTTTTTAACTCCAGAACGCTTCCGAACGGTTTTGAACGCTTTTTGAACGCTTTTTGAACGTTTTTGAACGCTTTTTTCCACTCCAGAACATATCTAACTCCTGAACGGTTATTTCCACTCCGGTGTTGAAATTTCAACTCCAAACCCAAAATCGATCAATTTCAGGTTTGGTGTTAAAATTACAAGTATCATGGTTTACCAGGTATATGTTATAGTAGTCTTTATAATTCCCAGTGATATCCAACTCCATTGCTAGCTGTTGCTGGATGCCAGGTTCGGGACTGGCCTGAGACAGCTGATGGCTTACGTTTGAAGGCGAGCTGGGAAGCGAGCTGGGAAGCGAGCTGGGAGAATCATCGAACAAAAAAAACATGGTGGATTTGTGTCTTTCTTAATGGAGGTTTATAGGCAAAAATCATCAATGGTGGATTTCTGTTTTTTTTGCAAACCGCATTTTTTTGTGAACTCTCCGGAAAACATGGGATAGATATCCCCATTGAAATTTCCAAGATTCTAAGGGGTCACTCAAGTGACCCCCATTTTCTAGCTAGAAACTTCCCGCCCAGTCAATTTCCCTACATTTCCTGGGGAAAGTCGAAAAGGTCCTTCATGATTTTATATATAAATGTATCTGACCATTTTCTAGAGAGATAAGGATAGAGAAGGGCTGAAAAAAAAAACTATCGAACTCGTGTCCGAATGCTTCCTGGGTCATTCCTGGGGAATGCTTAAAAAGCCCCATGCCCAGGGCCAGGTTCATCCTTCCATATCAAGTTATTTTCTAGACAGCTGCTAGATTGATATCAAGGATAGATAACCATGGAACTAAGTTGGTGTCCAGCAAGCCAGGGCCATTTTACTGGAGGATAATGCCGACAGTGTTGTTGGCGTTCCTGAAGCAGGGTTGGTATACGCTCTGGTAATGAAACATGGCAACAGAAACCCTGCGTCAACAAACATATTTCCACAGATATAGATGCATCATTTTTCATTGCCAGTTTGTATCAGTTCAAGCAAGGTGATGGTACCCTACTTGATGAGTTTACCCGGTACGCCTCCCGCCTCATTCGCGATGTGCGAGTTTTGTTGGGTTCCTAGCGGCTCAGGTCTTAACAGTTAGCCCACTTATGTATACCAAGTTACCTAACCGTTATTCAACTGGGGAACCACCAATCGTACCTGGTCTATAAATGATTTACCACCTATAATAGATAGTCTAGATTTACGATTGTTGTTTTTATTATTATATATATATGTACCACTCATGTGTATAATATATATATATGTATACCCAATAGATCTGCACATATATATATACATACATGTTGTGTAACATATACAGTATATATATACACTGTAAAACATATGTATGTGTGTGTGCTATTCCAGTTTTTATTCCACTGTGGCTTGATCAATCCCCGGTTATCACTATGTTTTGGTTGTAAGACGCTCTCACCTCATTTCAGTGCGGCCGTTTGGCGACGGTGACAGGTTCGCGAGTACAGATCTTCCGGCAACTTAGCAGCAGAGATAGTCGGGGCGCTATTCGATATATCACTGGATAGGGATAATGTTAGGATATAAATGATATTATGGGAATGTGGAATATGAGTTATTGTTGGTGATAAGTCACCCAAGCCTGAGGGCCTATAGAGTTCTGAAGATGAGATAATCTTGCTGTGAAATTATAAATCCAAATTTTCCATTGGAGAATCTATTGTCAATATATATCTATATATAATATTGTATATATATTGTTCATTTATGACCCAGCAAGTCGAAGAAACCTTGCTGAGTGCGACTATGATCTTTCGGTATGACCCAGGTCTTCGGCGTTTCAAGAAATCTGGGTTGCAATGACACCTGTTGAAAACAGGATGGCAATTTCCAAAAACTTGTCTCACAAGAAAACAGGTTTGCGGGACTAGTTTCAGTTTGGAAGTCTGTTTTGTTGTTTAACGGCTACCCATTGCTTTTGTCTTTCTCTTGTCTTTTGGAGACAGGGGAAAAAAGATGAAAAACATGTTTGCATTTGTTTTGCCACTTGCAGTTTATACTCTCTGTTTGTTGCCTAACCAGTGCATTTGATCGATGTTCTTGTGCTTTGCCGTATCTCAAAATAACACATGCCATGGAATGCAACAGTCTCGAGTCATGCCTAAACCACACAAAGTACAAAGTGAATATGTCTATCTCCATCTTGTCGGCTCATTTTTCAAACTAGTTGGTTAATATTCCAACGCTTTGGAGGTCACATTGGCAGGATGTTTTGGTCGGTACAGCCCTGGGTCCGCTGGTGAACTTTTCAACGTTACAAGACTTGTGCCAATACCTGGGGCAGATTGTTCACCACAGCCACCCCATCGATGAAGGCTTGCACTGGCGTTAGCACAGGGAAACCAGAGGAACATTGACTCAAGCTCCAGGTTTTGGATTTGGTTTACTGTAATAGGTTCACAATATATGGAAATATCATGATATAATATATATATATACACGTATATCTACACATGCAGTATATAGGGATCCAGCAAGATCTATCAATCCAAACAACAGTTTGATAAAACTCCCATGTTCGACGGTAAACATTAGGGTTTCAACGGGATTAGTTCTCCCTTGAACTAGTCCAACGAGATCGTAAACACTCCAGATTTGTCACATAACTTCCAATATTATGATCTCGTATCAAATATCATGTTCCCAAGCATTTCTGTTAAGAACCATGACTATTCAATATATATTCAATATATATATATATATGGTGCAGCGTTGGCCACCCCCCCCTCCCCCCCCCACCAATGGGTATGGGTGGACAGTATCGTCTGGTTCTTCTGGTCCCCCCCCCCCCTGTGGCCTGTGGTGGTGGTATGGTTCTTCTGGTCCCCCCCCCCTGTGGCCTGTGGTGGTGGTATGGTTCTTCTGGTCCCCCCCCCTGTGGCCTGTGGTGGTGGTATGTTGGTATGTTGGTATGTTGGTATGTTGGTATGTTGGTATGTTGGTAATGTATGTATTTGGTATGTATGTATGCATGTATGCATGCATGTATGTATGTATGTATGTATGTATGTATGTATGTATGGAATGTAAGGTAAGGTAATGTAAGGTAAGGTAATGTAAGGTAAGGTAATGTAATGGTATGTATGTATGTATGTATGTACGTAGGTATGTAGGTAGGTAGGTAGGTAGGTAGGTATGTAGGTATGTATGTATGTATATACACCACCACAGGGGCATCATACCCCCCCCCCATCCCATGGGGGGGGCGGGGGGGGGGGGGGAACACGGGACACGGGACCATATATATACATTGATATACCCCTACAAGCGTTAACATATCTGAGTCATATCTGGGTCCAAAAACCTATCCGCGTGGGTCCGCGTCAGTGTCCGCGTCAGTGCGTAGAGGGTGGCGCAATATCACCTTTTGGTGCACATATGTGTGTGTGTGTGTTGCGCAGGTACTAGTGCGTAGAAATGCGTAGAAGGTGGTGTGAATTCATGCTTTTGTAATATTCTGCAGTTCGTCTCGTGCAGATGCTAGCACGTTGAAAGAAACTGCACCAGCACACGGACCGATTCACAAACTGATCGAAAATTGACCCTGTGCGGGCAGAGGCCCGGCACTGATGCGGACCGCGACCCACATCCCGCGGACCCACGCGCACCCACACGGACCCACGCGGACCCGTGCGGACCCAGCAATGGACCCACGCAATATGATGTCAATATTATGTACACACATATGCACGTGTAGATTTATACCCCATAATCAACACACTGTGTTGATTTCAAAAAAATATTATGTTTACCAATTTTCAGAAATTATTATCACGATGTATAACATACTAGTATAATAAAGAACTATATATATATAAATATAATAGGCAACATGCTTCTTTTGTAGCTACAATAACAATACTATAAATCTTGTTACGTTTCTGCAATTACAAGAATATACCTCCGGAAACTAAGATATTATCTATGTATGCATACAGAATCGATGTATTGAATGTATATATACGCGCGATACTCCGGATCATGTATATAATGTATATATATATATATATATTTAGATACGTTCTATATCTTACAGTTCTTATATTTTATATAGATATCATATCTACATAATCCCATCCCTCTCCTATCAAGCACCACCCATAAAGCTGGCTTTAGAAGGGGAATGGAAAACATATTTGGTCCTTGAAATTACTGTAAGGGGGATTGGATTGCCTAGGATGTCTCAATTGTTGACAGGATTTGTCATCCGATCCACCATTTTTTCAGGTGTGCAGTGTGCGGATTATTTCTATTAAAAAAAAAAACAAAAAACAAAAGCACTGTTCAAAGCCCTGTGTCGTCCCTTAACAAAAACTGTTTGGTTAAGAACGGGATTCCCACAATGGATTGTGATTTTTTCTATACTACTATATGTTGCTTAGTAGAATCTCCGAGTTAATCATCAACCAAAGGGGGTCTTGAAGAAATACCCGGTTGCAGATTCTTATTAACAGACAAACCATGGGGTGGGCTTAAGCAGCAAAACAACAATCACAACTCCCTTGTCAACATGCTATGTAGTAAGCTGATCTGGCAAGATATTCTGACTGGATGTAAACATCTAGATGTGGCTCACTGACTAGGGAGATGTTAAAAATGAGAGGGCAACTTGTTCCGATATTAGATGTACTAGTAGTAAAGTGCCTAATCGAGAAAATTGAGTAATTAAACTTAGAATAGTTTTGGTGCTCTTAAGATAGTCACTGCACACGGGAGAGGGGTCAGATGCCCCTTTCCCCTGTGCACTCCTGAGCGCTCCGGAGTGCACAAGGGAGAGGGGCAACTGACCCCTCTCCCCCTCTCCCGTGTGCAGTGGCTATCTTAAGAGCAGCTACATACCACCCTTGACTCATTTCAGCATTTTCTGCATTTTCAAAGGTTTGAGCAGTTGTGGATTTGATAGTGTCACACGAGAATTGAACAATCATTGGCTTATTACCCCATAGGGTGTTTTGGGTATTATGATGGATCGTGTATTCGGGGGAATGGTCACCATTCCCAGTAAAGTCCAACAATAACGATAATCAATGATTTTTAAAACCCATGGTGTAAGCCTGTCATGCCAATCCATGCCATGTGCTGGTGCTATTGGACTATGTTAAGCACAGCTCAGAATCCCATTAATTCCTATCAATATGTCATTAAAACCGTACTAAATCTCACTAAACATGGAGTAAAATGCCATTAGATCCTATTAAGATTTAATTCAAATCCCCTCAAATCCTGTGATATAAAAATCCCTATAAAATCCCACTAGAACCCTACTAAAATCCCACAAAATCCCGCCTGAATATCATGTTCGCCAAACTCACCAGGTGGTTGGGAGTACTTCATCTCCATCGAGGGTGGCCACCGGGGCTTCGGCGGCGGCGCAACGCAGCGGGCCTTGGCCGGCGGACAGAAGGCCACGAAGAAGGAGAAGAACCAGCGGAAGGTGCGGAGATTCCATTGGAATGGGTGTCTAGAATAGAAGATGATATCCATTATATAGACATGTCTTTATAGGAAATGTCTATATGTAGAAATCATTGGATATTGAAATTCAAATCTATCGATTATAGAAATCTAATGGGTTTCCATAGAATAATCCTACTGGAATATTTAGATATTATTGAGACATTCATGAATTATTTGGATATGATGATATTTATATACGACTTCTAGCTGGTGGTTTCAAATATTTATTGTTGTTCAACCATTATTATTGCATGATTGGTTCAGATGGAACGCACTTTTTTTGGGGATAGCTTAAAGCAACCAACCAGATTTGTTGGACATAATGGCATCTATATAAGTATATTATATATATATACATATATAAACCCTTCATTTTGGTATGGTATATATATATATGTAGCATATGATATGTGTGCCATGATAAATTGGATTAACCAACATGGGGGATGGTCATAGCAACATTCGGAGGGATTCAACCCCTGTCGGCGGCGGTCAGGGACCTGGATGTGAATGAAGCGGCAAAATACACATTGACGACGCACTTAATTTTTCAATGATATATATAAATATATCATACCAAAAAAATAAAACACTAGTTCATTGGACGACCCTAAATAAAATGAAAATCCTGTGATAAATGGTACGCATGACCTCACTCATCCAGGGGTTTATACCCTGAGCCCTGAGTTGAGACTACCTTGCGGACATCATCATTGCCCTGGAAAAGTCCACTTTGATGGGACATGATTTAGTTCATGATATGACAAGAGCATTCCCAACAAAAAAAAGCGGGAACATTCCATTGCCAGGTTAGATTACTGGAGAGTAACATCATTCTGGTCACATTTGCAGGCGAACCTTCGCGATGCTGCTGCACAGGCTGAAATGAAGGCGCCAAGAATGTGTTTCCATTTGCAACCACTTATTTAGTGATGCTCCAACTTATGGTGAAACATAGCCACAAGGGGGGCAATTGGGACATTTTACCTCCATATTTAGCCAGTTGTCCCACCATGGCAACTGGTTGGGAGCAACCGGCAGCTTCACGATATACTGTAAATGTTACGCTGTTGCGCCAGTCACCGACCCCTTTCTTCCCTTTAAAGCGACAGAATTTGCTGTGCATGCTTACAAGGTTGGCCCAGTTGTTTTTCGGTGGCTTGGTTTATAACCAGTAACTAGACTAAGTATTATTAATTAGTTTTAAATTATAAACAAACACTAGTTCTAACTTTGGTGTTTATAAACCCACTTAGGGCTTTTTGGGGAATACATCTGCAATTATATTACACTAAGTAGGTTTATGAAGCTCATGGGAAGCATCTCTAAGACATCCCTAGGCATGGGGAAAGTGTGAAGGTAAACACGGCCATTTTTCACCAGAAATTATGAGACACCATGATGAAGAATTTCTGGTTGGTTATTATAAATTATGACAGAAAAATATGACACCATTATATAATTATAACCAGAAATGATGAAACTATAGATTCAGTTTGTTTTTTTTTCAGAACCATGACTTTTTCACAGAAACCCAGATGCTTTCCAGATGTCTTCCCTTTCAGGCCGCGGCCCTCGCGAGCGCCAACCTCACGCGAGAGGACTCGGACATCATCAGGTGATTTTGGTTGATGTGACGTTTGCTGTTCGGGTGAAAGTTATAAATATATATATATACAGAGTTGATTTACACATTAAAAAAGGTGATTTTCCATAGTTATGTTAGTTTACTATATATATATATATAGTTGATTTACATATTAAAATACAATGTTAGATTTCACATTCCCGCTCCAGCTCGAAGGTACGTGTCTCCCTCAAAAAAATTGCTTTTCCCTAGATCTAGTATATTACATGGTTGGGATTGCATAGGTGTATATATATATATGATGAAGCTCAAAGCTACCTTGCTGGCTCACTGCCTCCTTGCTAGCTCAAAGCTCAAAGCTACCTTGCTGGCTCAGTGCCACGTAGCTGGCTCAGTGCCACGTAGCTGGCTCAATGCCACGTAGCTGGCTCAGCGCCTCGTAGCTGGCTCAGCGCCACGTAGCTGGCTCAATTTTTTTAGCGAAAAAAAAAAAAAAAAAAAAAACTCGCAGAAATTGAGCCGGCTACATGCCCTTGAGCCGGCTCGCCAATGCGTCATGAACCCGGCCAATACATAGCTAGTATTCGTTTTGATGCTCTCACATTCGTCCGCCAGCTCAACGTGACGTAGCTGGCTCAATTTCTGCGAGGTTTTTTTTTTCTTTTTGTTTTTTTCGCTAAAAAAATTGAGCCAGCTCGATGCCATTGAGCTAGCTCGATGCCCCTGAGCCAGCTACGTGGCATTGAGCGAGCTCGATGGTGCTGAGCCAGCTCGTTGCAGTTGAGCGAGCTCGCAGAAACTTCCCAATCTGTTAAATTGCATTAAATTGCCAGGTTCAATCCCCACTGATTACTTTAGTACTAGATATGGTACCTCTGAAAAAGCCCAAGGTGACTGTCAAAACATACCCCTGATGAAATTGAGCCAGCTACATGTTTTGAGCTAGATCGAAAAAATGGAAGATTGGGAATTCCAACATTAGATAAAAAAGGTGATTTCCATAGTTATGTTAGTCTACTATATATATAGTTGATTTACAAATTAAAAAGGTGATTTCCATAGTTACGTTAGTTTACTATATATTTATAGTTGATTTACAAATTAAAAAAAGGTGATTTTCCATAGTTATGTTAGTTTACTATATATTTATAGTTGATTTACCTATTAAAAAAGGTGATTTTCCATAGTTATGTAAACGTTTACCAGAGGGTATATAACTACACCTATTCGTAACTTCAGTGGTATCCCCCCATATCCGCAACATATGAAACTCCAAAATCAACAGATCCATCACCTGGGGCCAGTTTGTTCGGTGGCTTGGTTTATAGCTAGGCTAAATGTTGGGTCCATAGGGGATATATCATAGATATATCTATAGTTAGCTAGGTTTCTAAAACAACAAACAGAACTGGGGGTCACCACCTTGTATGTTGGCTGTTCGCACAAATGGGACGTCTGATATGGGCATTGATGCCAAATTTCCTCAATTTCCTCTTTGGAATTGCATGTTTTCCCCTGTGGGTATGATTCGGGATGATGGTGACAGTGAATGGTGGTTACAGTAATGATGACACTGATGATGGTTATAATTATTGTTGTTAACTACTGTTATAAAACAACATAATGCAATATAATATGATGTTTTGAATTGTTTTGCCATTCATCATCATCATCATCACCATCATCACCATCATCATCCTCATCCTCATCGTCATCCTCATCATCATCATCATCATCACCATCATCAACATCAACATCAACATCGTTAGTATTGTCATAGTCATCATGACTATTACAGTGTGTGTGAACCAGATTTGTGACTATATTGATGGCGATTAGTTTATTACTATCGTTGTCATCATTCACAACATGTCGTTATCAAATAGTTCGGATTGTTTTCCTCATAGCAATGAGAAAAATGTTACCCTTTCCTTGATATGGGTTGCAACTTGGGAGTTTGTTTAATCAATGGGTGGTTACATACCTGTAGCTTATAAGCCTTGTTCAGCACATGTTGTGAATCTACAGGACGAGGATCACCGTAATCAAGTTGTAACATAAACTGATTAGGTTCTGATAATGTCGTTGTGGTTGTTGTTGTTGGTATTGTTGTTGTTGTTGTTGTTGTTGTTGTTGTTGTTGTTGTTGTTGTTGTTGTTGTTGTTGTTGTGTCTGTTTCCTGACTAATTCACACACATAAACTACTTAAACATGATTATGGTCAACCATCAATCATCATCAGATCATCAGATCATCATATCACCACGAAAATCGCCAGGAGCGGAAGAAGGCTGCGGCCGAGGCCTTAGCAAAGCACCGTGATGACGTGGCCGCGGCAACGCCCATGCCCGAGGAGAAACGGAGACACAGACGCGATTTGATGTGAAACTTGCACGTTTTTATGGAAACATTAGAAACACAATGAAACACATGTTTTATTTGTATTCACATTAATTGTGGGACAACGTTTATTCGATGTTTCAAGGACGGGGTGAGATCCGTCAGGCACTGGGGTGCAGGTCACGCGTAGGATGTGTCCAATGCTCTGCAAAGTCGCCTCAGATTTTAAGGTGTTGTTACCATTGTTTCATTTTTCCAAAATGGTTCCATATGTTTCCATAGTTTATCCATGTTTCCATGGTTTCCATAATTTATCCATATTTTATCCATATTATGTCCATATTGTTTCCAAGCAAGCTCACCCTGACAAGCCGACAAGGAGCTCGAGGTAGATGATGACAATGCCACCTTGTAGCTGTGAGAATTCCATTTGTGGAGTAAGTTGAGAGAAGGGACAAGTGTCGAATGCTTGAAATAATATATGAAATATTGGGATGTTCGAGGGTGACGCTGAAGACACCAAGCCGCGCTGTCTGAAGGATCCGTTTTCGCACGGTTTCGTACGTGAAGTCGTCACTATTTAATGATTTTAGTGGATGCAATTTGCAGCGTTTGTTGCCTCACATACTTAGATAATCTTAGAATATGTCAGACTATTGAGCTATCAACTCGGTAAACACCACATCCCCAACATTAACCCACTGTTCAAATATGTGACAGTGCCTAAGTGCAATAGTCGTCTATGGTCATCAAGGTTGACCATGTGGGAAGCGAGGTGACGCCATTTAAGGGGAACACACCCCAAGCCCAGTTGCATCCAATGTATAATGGGAATATCATCACTTACTCTCCCTATGGATCCAAGTACCTTCTTGGGAAGTATTTTGGGTATGATTTTGGGGTTAAGTACCTTCTCAGACACTGTCTGGATCCATAGGGTGTAGATGTTCCCAGAATTTATTGTGGTGAGTAACGGACTATATCCCAATCCATCCTAGTTGCAAATAAGGAAATAAGGGCGTATGATTTGTGATCACCACTCAAATCAAAAATCTATAACTCTGTCTTCACTTTCCCTATGAATATGACCGTAAATTGGAGGCACCGGTAGATCCTCCAGTTTCACACAGCGCTGGGTGCCGCCCCAAGGTACGGCCTGCTGCGCTTGCGATTTAATGATGACATTAAGGCGCCCAGCCCAATCTTCCCAGTGACCAGGCGAAATCTGGGGAAAACCCCCCAAATCCCATCCTTTATCCTCTTGTTTATCATTGAACTTGCCATGGAATGGGAAAACCCGTTTTCAGACACATATAGAAGTCTTCTACTTGTTTTTGAATGGCAAAATAGAGACAGTATATGTTTGTTTCGAAATTGTAGGACAAAACTAAACAATAAAGTATATGATATGTTTTTTTTGTAAGTATTGGTTTGAGGGGAAGTTGACCGAACACTCCCAAATTTGAATGGTGCAATCCCAATATGAAATTAGAAGACACCAAGAATGGCTCCAACTAAGGTTCGACGTGTGTATTTCATTTGGAAGGCCGAGTTGTAAAGCCATGGCCCAACTCAAATCCTTGGATGGTCCCATGTTGATGGCTAAGCTAAACCCAATTTTTTTGTTTCAAAGCGAAGGAAACGATATCAACACCTCCAGGAAGTATCCTCCACCGTAAAAGAGTGCAAGTGAAACAGCGTCAACTTCTGCGTTTAAATTGAACTCGGAACAATATTTCCTGTGTTTTTTTGGGGGGTCGACCTGTGAACTATTTCAAGATCCCAGTTTCAGCCGGTGCACCGAGGAACTCAACGGCTGCGCGCTGATTCGCGAGCTGCACGTCTACGGCACCCTGGTGGCGGCCGGTCGCGAGCAGAAGGGCGACCACGACGAACGACCGCAGCACATCGGTGCCGCGGTCGAGGGAGATGCCATGGGCGGGGGATGTGGATCCCAGTGTGTTCATGGTGGTTATGATAAATGATTATATATATACACATATTATATATATATATTTTTAAATATATACATTATATATATATATGTATATATGTATCTATCTATCTATATACATTATATATATATATATATATATGTATACAATAGACATTAATATACACATGTTGGTCATGTTTTTTCAAAAATATGGCTAATTATAAATGATTAAAATTAGAATATGAATGTTATGGTTTTTGTGTATCCCAATGGCACCATAAATGGTTGTATCTCAATGGTTCAAATGGTTGGAAGAAAATGTTATTGATAGTGATTAGAACAGGGATAGTATCATGTTGTTAGTGAGGATATATTATCTGGTTATATCTGGTTGGTGGTTTGGAAGATGAATTTTATGACTTTCCAGAAACAGTTGGGAATGTCATCATCCCAACTGACTTTCACTCCATCATTTTCTAGGCGGGTGGATCATCCCATCAAGATCTTCACTTGCCATGTTTGCATGATGGTTTTGTCAGCAGATGCACCCCCAGGTGATTGTTTGCAATGGGAA